TGTCGTAACAGTATATTTATATCTGCATTCTTTTACATGCGCACTTAGATACTAACAGTAACTATGGTGCACGTATTTACAGGACAGACAAAAACTGAGTATTATTATAATATATAGTTGGGTTGTTTGACATATATGAATTTCATATGTTACAAACCATGAATTATTTACTACAGTTAGCTTTCCGAGAAACTTCAGCGATACAAGGCCTTTCTTAATTAAAACTAGTTTATTCTTTCACGATACAACTTTGCAATAGACAGAATTTCCATAGTCACTTTAAACTTGACTACTTTCATGAACACACGCTATAAATCACAGGGATTCACACACTTTACTTACGGCTTGACTCGATTATCTCTATCTTCAATCTCTCTATCTGTCTCATTCTGCTTTATTTGCCGGGATTATATACTAAAAAAGAGGGCGTCTGGAACAGACAAGAGTTGCCAGGACAATTCAAGATCCTTCGAGAATCTCATGACGTATTACCAGCGTCACATGACTTCCGCTGTCGTAACAGTGTTAATATCCCTTTGTATTTTATAAATGGAGATGAGACACTTTATAATGGTGAAGTCCACATGTAAATTATAATTGGGACAGTTCGTACACAATGTTATAATGGTAATGTCCATTTGTAAATCATAACTGGAAATAAGATACAATGAGAAGAATATATTCATAATTGTAAAAATTATTTGTACACCATAATTTGGTTAAGACAATGAATAAAATACGATTGTGTAATTAACGTATGCATGAAGTCACTGTTATAAGCGTGACATAAAAATTTCAGAAGATAAATTGAAAGTTAAATCACGAGAGTGAAGAGGTGAATGTTGTGGACTGCCAGAACTATGAAACTTAAACACAGCATTGTGTTAGATATACACTACTGTTTCAGTTTGAGTATTATTGCATCTTGATATCTAGTAGTGTATGGAACGTTCTAGACCTCTGTCGGGGTATAATAGATATAGACTGCGTGATTGAGTTTAGCCACAAAGACTGTATAGTGGCGAATTTTATAGTGAATTTTTCACAGATTGTATTGTAATAACAGAGTAGAGAAAATTAACTTGTCAATTGTGTTCTAAAGTAATTGAATTGGACTGTGTGGTAGAAACGAAGTAGAGACAATTATTTAAAGCTCTGGATACAACTATGGTAACCAACAGCTATAGTGGTGATTTTGAAGGGAAGTTATCACACACTGTATTGTAAGAACAGAGCAAGAAGAATAATTCGTTTTGTCAGATTGTATTCTAGAGTAACTGAACCAGCTTGTGTGGATTTTGACGAAAAAAGAGACAATTATTTAAAGCTTTGGAAACAACTGTGATAACCAACAGTGTAACGAGCATTTGCATATGCGTCTGATTTGTTTTAATTTATTATTTTAAAACAAGTGGACTGGGTGATGTTTGTTTATTGTTGAAATTTATCACCAACAAGTCACAGACACCTACTCTAAAGAATCCGACCCCTATATAAAACCTGACACTCTACTTCTGTAAAAGGGGTTTGTCATCTCAACTCAAGTGAATATATATGTATGTGTGTCTGTATATATATAATAATGAGTATTCGCTGTTTGTGGAAGTAAGCTTCAAAGAAAACTTTACATGTAGAAAGCTTCAAGAACATTGAAATATGCCATTTGTCTGGATCAAGTATCGATTTTTGAAGCAGCAAATTAATAATTGTATAATCACGTAAATCGTTCAAATTAAGTTAAAGGTATCGTGTTTTCTTTTAAAATTTGTTGCCGAAAAATCTAAGTGCGTTTTTAATCATATTGTTGTGTATAGGTATAGAATAAACTATAGCAGAGGTATAGGTTAGAATAAATCATTACGCTAATCGCATAAAACGGACCTACTATTCGAAAATCTTCCTTGAGATTAAAAAATAGTGTCCTTCCTTGTAAAAGACTGTGACATATGTTAAATACTAAATGGTTAGGAATTGTTCGTGAACTAAGTATAAATGTACTAAATGTGTCCACTGTGGTACGACTGCTCGCTCTGCGACGACATGCAAATCGTTCTTATAATGTTCGATTAACATGTTCAGTATGTTCTCTGTCCATTTAGTTAAGAGACTCCAGACTACATGAGACAGCAACACAAAGGACATGAATCACGTAATATTGAATATGATTTTTTGCTCAAATATCAACGTTTGTTAATGGTATAATCTCATTAATCGATGAGTGAATGACGAAGTTCTGACATAAGATTAACATGTTCAGTATGTCCTCTGTCCATTTCGTTAAGACTCCAGACTACATGAGACAGCAACACGAAGGATATGAAACACGTAATATTGAATATAATTTTTTGCTCA